CACGGTAATTGTTTGCACGTGTTAGGTTGGCGGAACCAACTTTAATCTTGAGTAATTATTAAAGCCGACATAGCTGTAATAATTTTTGTCGAGGCCGCATGTTGCAGTAATTGTGTGCGATTTATTATGTTGAATCCTCCCTGCGGCAATAACTGAAAATCGTTTAGTGCAGAGCCCAGTAACTACAATATATTATTATTATGTTACAGCCGGGTAATATCGGCTGACGAAATGTAGCCCGGACTCACGTCCCTTTGTACGCCGACAGTATTATCTCTCGTTTCCACAATTCCATAAGCGGATATTCACATCTCTGCCAAGCCTTTTTTATTGCACGCCCGTACTATTATATAAATGATTGTGGTATGTCTCATTCGAAAAACAAAAACCCACCACTGTTTTACCGACGACATTGTTTTACCGCATGTTCGGTTCAACATATCTATACTAATTTTTCTAGTGAATAAAATTATCCAACAAATTAATATAATATGGGATCCATTAGGGTATTAGGCGATAACATAGACAAAGTCATTTTTTTTTTCATCTATTTTGTCAAATACTTTTAAAGTATAATGTAGAAGACCTAGCGCGGGACCTTAACGAGACTCGATATTTTATATTTAAATCCGCGAGACACTTTATAAAAACAACACATTTAATACCGGCCAAATGTAGCTGGGTAGAAAATGCAAATAAGTAATTGCGAACAGTGGAGTATATGGACCGAAAATTATTTATTTATAGCCATTATACATGGATTAGAAGATTAAGCGTCCCGTTTACTCTGTTGGTTTACATATTTGATCCCAAATTTTCCGTTTTGCATATAAATTAACCTTTATAATATAGTAACGAAAAAAACCGAGTATAACCACAATGTGACCAATTAGTTAACAACCCAATATTATATTCTGGATTTTAATTACTCGTGTAACCGTTGTTGTTTTTGTGGATTCTAACATAATTTATCCCGTTCAAAATAAACCACGGTTAAGTACTTGTAATTATTAATTTACTATCGATTGGGCTCGCGAACACGTGCTATATTTTCATGGTGATAAACAGTGCAATAATTATTTTTCAGATTGTGATTACAATATTAAAAGGTATCGTGAAGCTGATATATGGATTTATAACATGTTAACTTTTGGTAAAAATTGGTTTAAAGAAGGCAAAAAGACACCATAATAAACTGTCTGAATCTCTCTTGTTTTTATCTAAACTAATTTTATCCTAGGATATAATACGTAAACATATAATTAAAATAAGCATTTCATTTTACACAAGCCGTTCTTAAATCACGGAGTTCTGCGCCATCTTCAATCTTATCATCGGCGTCCCTCCCTCTCCTCCTATTACTGGACCGCATCTAAAGACGTTTAGCAATGTCATCGGCGAATCTTTAAATTCAACGAGCCGTATAATGAGTTTTAATTTACCGCAATTTGGAAATACCATTTCGCGGTTTTCGTCCGTTCAATGGGAACGCTCGCAAATAGCCATTAATGCCGGTATAATATAAATCACACTCGTGTCACACAAAGGCTATTGAAGTACCCGGAAAAATCTTCATTTTGGCCAATTGAGGAGAAACTCGAAAGGCCACAAAAGAGGACCCTCCGCCTGCTACGCCATAAATAATAAAAGTTTTCGACTGACGTGAGATGAGACTAACCGCAGTGCTACTTTATAGTTGCAAGTGTAGTATTTTTCTAAGTCATTGCCTCTTGGGATTTTCGAGTGGATACTATAAGACGAACGCTTGCTGAAAAAATAATAATGTTATATTATTTTCTCGGGTGCGCACGTAAAAAGTAGAAATGTTCATTTAGAATGTGACCACGTGTGTCCAAGACGAAATAACACTAAACAAAGAATAAGATTGAAAAAAAAATTGAGACTAAAACAGTTTTCGAATAAATTATGTTTAATAAGCAAATTAATTTTGAAAAAAGTTCAATAACGATAATAAAAGACACTGAACATTAATTTGTATACCAATTCATATACAAATTCTTTTTATTTTCGGTATATGTTATACAAATTTATTTAGAAACATTATTTAAAATGTGCACTTGGACATTCTGTTTAGTATCAGTTATTGAGTATTCTGATATGTCACTCAGTTAAATCACAAAATATACATAATTTTAAAGTCTCGCCGTAATCGCATTGGCATTGCAACTGATAAAAACATTTAAATTAATATATTATACGTATTAAACAATATAGTAATATTTGTGTACTTCTCCAGAAAACGATAAATTATTTTTTGTCATTTTTTTTTTTTATAAACCGTAAATTATGGAAATTAGTTGCATACGAATCTTGATTTTAAAAGTTGACTGCTAAATAAAATGCAAAAACCGTTGGATGAATTCAATAAAATACACCGGAAATTATAAAATAAATATTTATTAGTTTTTCTTTTGTCTGTTTGGACATATTATACAATTTTTACTTTGTTCTGTTGTTTGTTATTCTGTAAGATATGAAAACAAATAACTGATTAGAGTCCAAACACTTAAACAGTCCATTTAAAATACATGAGAAAGTGTTGCTCGACTAGGTCATGCCGTTATTTTAATTATATTTAATTTATAATTAACACCCAATGATAGAGTTTGTATATTATGTCGTTTGCCAGTTTTCATACTCGTTGCCCAACTTGTGACATAGACTTCTATAATCTAGTCCAAAAATCTGAAAGCACACTGTTTTCATCGTGTTAAAACCAGAATGATCATAATGATAATAATTATTATTTCTAAGGTTTCTTCTATAGTGTGTATTGATCTTATTGGGCTTTGTAGATTTGGTTAAATAAACGTTTTTTCTTGGTCTTTAACACAATTATTATTATTATATAACCGCTAACGCAGAATCGATGTTATAATATTTTATATTATTATGTGAAGTGTACATAATACACAAGTATACACAATGTAGCGGTAAAAGATAAATGTATTTTGACGCTCTCGCAGCAGCTTGTTCCGAGGTAGCAGTTGTAACAGATAAGACCGTATTGGGGTGATATATACTTAACGTTGCTTTTTTTTCTTTGATGGATCGGATGTGGTATACATCGACACGAATCCCTTATGCCTAATACCGGGATGTCGATAATATTGTATACATGCCGTTGTCGAGCACGCGTTTCGCCGTTAATCGAACGATTAGGCCGATTTCAACGGGCTCAGCCGAAATGACGTATCTCCACCTTGTAAACCACGACCACTTTATCTTACAATACAGCCATTAAATATCCGCAGAGTATGCAGCCATTTGAATTAGGTCCCAAAACAATAATTGAGCTTTAATCTTCACATAAAAAAACATCCATTGTTAAACAAATTAAACAAATATAAGCTATGTATAACTAATATATATATATATAACTTGAGCCTTCATTAAACCACCATGGTTTCATTTCTGAAAACTTCACGAGTTCTTCCTGAAGTCACTGAGTCTAAAGCTACACATCTAGCATACTTCACATTCACGCCAATGATAACAAGATAGTCTGCTAGTAAAAACTAGTAAGTTGTATGTTGTCCATTCAAAAATAATTTTAATTGAAGATCCTACCATAGCTATTTATTAATGACCAAAGTATTGGCAATATTTAAACAAAAATGAAGTTTCATACATATTTTAACCGTGTCAATTTATTTCAGGCTCGTTTTATTTTAGCTTTGGAATATAATTTTTAGCATTCACAATTTTTTTTAAATGTTATTTTGCGTAAAATTTATGTTAAACAACTTTTTTTTTTAACCAAGTAATCGCTAACCTGGGAGGGAACTGTTTACACATGACTTTCTCCCAGTTAAACTCCTTAGATGTGACCTAACCTAACTGTATGTTTTTCGTTACTTCGCTGTTTTCATGATCTCGTAGATGATCGGATTTTGTTAATTTGTTTTTTTTTTTTGTTATTTTCGAAAGAGGAAGAATATGAAATTTCACCCTTTTTGTTTTTTATAATCCCATTTGGACTATAAAAAGTGCAAAAAGATCTCTGATTTCTAAAATTTTAATGTTTAAAGCCGTTTTCAAAAGTTAATCTAGATAAGACATGAACGAAAATAAAATTAAAATTAAAAGTTAATTAATTAATTAGTTAGGTGACGTAGATGTAATGAGTTTAATTGGGTCACAGTCCGAAGGCGAAAGGATGTCAGCTGTCAACTCAAAGCTTGTCACCCAGGTTTGTTGTTATCGTGTGTGTCCGTCGTTCTCCCTACACTTATATCACACGTTATTTTTACTAATAATTAAGTATACGTTAATTATAAGCGAGCAGTAACTACGTACTCATAATAATTATTGTATTAAAAAAAAATGCTTGCTAATTTCTCGGCAATCAAGTCAGATTTTGTCTTATATTGTCAATACTTTTAAAGTAATGCGTTTATTTCTTTTTTTAAAAATACATTTAATATTATATTGTTTGAAAAACAACGTGTTTTTATATTTGAAAGTTATTTAATGAAATCGAAAGCTGCCTAGAGGATTTCACCATAGTTTCTGGCATAACAAATAACATATTTTGAACAAAAAATTAAAATAACTTACTGGAGTAGCACAATGCACTTGTTAACCGTAAGAAAAGTATACTTACAGGTTACAATAAGCTAACGCGTTCCCACCTGATTAAGTCAGCCTCTCCCGATTTACTTCGTCATTACAAAATTCTAAGTACGCCACTGTTAGGAACTGTTTTTTATGTCCGGCACTGAAGCTCTCCAAGAGGTCGAAGAATAATCTAAAAAAAACGTGTTATGTGTCCCATTCTCAGCGTATCTCTTTCCATGGCCGTTACTGTAAACACAACTGCCGAAGATGTTCCGATTTAACAGAGAGAGTGCGCTTTAGCCTTACCAACATATTTTATTGTAAATATAACAATATTCAAATGGTAATTGGCACGAACACTGGATATTACACTGTCACAAATCAAAGCTAACCCGTGTCTGTTTTGTGTTTTGTTTCAGCTGCGAAAGCACACGTCATCGACACTGTCGATCACTAGTGGGATGAAGGTTAGCGGTTCTGGTGGCCGAGGCGATAGCGGCGTAGCGGGCGAAGAAGCCGGCATAGCATTGGTTAGCATACATTCCGACTATCCCCGCTACACCGAAGAACGTACCGGATTGGTGTGCAAGGTACGCGTGTGTTTCTAATAATTATCATAATAATATCACAACGCTAAAAGCCACTGATGATATTTTATTATATTATTATTATTATACATAGCGCGTTTGTGTCTCCTTATGCAGCGAATAATTTTTTTTGGCGGCCTCATAAATCTTTGCCGCGAGCGAGTGTCTGCGTAGTAATATGTAAATCACCGCACCAACACCAGTCGTATATAATAATATTATTATAGTGGGGTAATACGGTTGAAGGGCTTGCAAAGGGTTTCCAACATTTAAAACATACTTTATTATATTGTACCTGGCCGCCGCGAATTTCTTTTCTTTGGTTTTTCTCACAATTCAGAATGTATTTTTGTACCAAAAGAAGAACGCCCATGTACATTTTATGCATAATACTGAGCCCATCAAGATTTAGTTCTATTGAAAAAAATGTAGTTATTGTTTACTACATAATATATTATAACAGATATAAAATATGAGGCGTAAAATTCTGTATACATAAAATTATTAGAGTAAAGTTAAATAAAGAAAAATAATTGCACTGTTACGTAACTAGTTTATTTTAAAATGGTCTTTTTATTTCATTTTAACTAGAACTACTTACGAAGACTAGAGGGAGGGATGAAGCGCGTTGTGTAATGTTATTTTTATCTGATCGCTTCACTCGACCCCACTTCCTCTTTAATCTAATCGTTTTAGTGATAAATTATTTATAAATGAACAGGTAAGTGAAAAGGGAGAATATTCCTCAACACCCAACTTTCGAAAAATTAAAGAAAACTATTTATTTCCTATGTAATTTATGAAGTTTCAATGGAAATTATCCTTTGTATACGCTCAAAATATGAGTCTGCCTTTTTATAAAATGGCTATTAGCTGTTCAAATTTACAACTGTCGTTATTGTTACTAAATAATGTTATTATAATAACCAAGTATAATTTACAAAATATAGATTATAATATAATATATAGGATTCGAATTTTAAACACTGCTTTTTACTTTAAAAAATATCTTAAACTTTTACACAATTTAAAATATTATTTTTGTATTATTTATACAGTATAATTACTATTGAAAAAAAAATTCAAAGAGTTATTTAACTTTTTTTGTTTAGTATTTTTTATATACACAAAATGGCTTTAAAAAATAATATTTTGTATGTTTAAAATATTGTATAATAATAACTACAAAATTATATGATTTATTCATTTTTATAAATTAAATACAATAATTTACTTGCATTCTGTACTTTAGCCTTTGTTTCACATCTGTGTCCTAAAACATAAAACTTTGTTTATGGTATAAAAATACTTAATTTGATTTCAGCATTATGATTGAACTAAAAACTTTCCCATTGAATTTTTAGAAATGCATCAGTATTTTTAAACTTTATGTTCGATATAACAAACACAATTAAAATCTACTATAATACTATCCAAGTCTATATTCTTGTCCTTTATTATTTTACAACAGTATGATTACTTATGCATTATCATTTAGTTAAACAAAAACTGTGCACTAATAATTAACATTAACAAAAGAAATTAATTATTTTTTGATTTGTGAAAATTATAATTTATACTTCAAAGCACTTAAATCTTAAATGTTTTCTTCTTTATTGCTTAAGATGCTACCAGATGCGGCTAATTTAACATTTTTGATTCAATAACTTCATTAAGCTTTTAATACCAAATGTTTGGCGTTGCTCCAAAACTCGACAATAAACTAATCTCCCAGTGGATTGCCTTCTATAAACGACTTTCATTAGCGTGTTTTATAAAATACTGGAAAAGAATAGCTCAATGAGCTGAGCACATTCATAAAGTATACTTGGGGGAAGTATCGAATAAAAATTGTATTCTTAACCCAAAACCGACACGATTTCTTTTAGTAACAACCCTAACCGATTATTTTTATTATTCGATTATATTTTATATTTTAAGTTATCAAAAATCTAATATGGTTCTGTTTACATTATTCAACTATTCTTGTAATGTTTATTCGGGTTTTTTAGTGTAAAAAGTTGACCCCCTCCTCCTTATTTCTATTTTTAATAGATAAAATAAGTAAATTCAATGCATTTTTCTTGGTGGAAAATCGACTGGGACATAAAATTCTTAAGGACCTGTAAATAAAAAGTCTTGCTTCCACTTAGCCTCCTTGAACACTACTTGCAGTTTACAGAGTACTTTATCAAAGCTTTCCAATTCGTTTAGCAGACCATAAGAGTCCTTAGGTGGAATCGATAAACTTCCTATGAACTGTAAGAAAATGAAGACCAGTCATAAATTGTGTCAAGACTTAAAATCTCTTTTTGACATTTTTCAACAGTATTTTATACTTTATTGGCTCATACGAACTTCCATTAGCGTATTCTAATACAGTGCTAAAAAAAAAAAAAATGATGAACGACAACAACTAATATTATATTACAATCTTATTCTTCTTCGACTTGGCAAATGAGGTCGAACTACTTCGATCTTAAAACACCATTTGTGATATGATATTTTTTTCTTTACAATATCATTATTTCTAAAACGGATGTCATGTCGTTTGTTCTAGTGCAGTTATGTATCTTATTATAATAAAGGTAGATATTTTTTTCGTTGTCCGTGATTCCGAAACATATTATGTTGCGAAGATCATATTATTAGGGTCTTCAACAGAACTTTTTACTTTGGTATGGTCTTTGTTTAGTGGGGGTGATTTCTTGCTAATTTATAACACTCATGGCTAATCTGACGTGACTCATATCGTCTTGTAAAATTAAAAATCAATAAATACAGTTTAATTTTTTATTCCATGCGATTGTTTGATTTAATAAAATAAAAGTAGGTAATTATATTATTTTAGATAAATTATTAATATTGAATACAATTAATTTTTCAGGGCGCCAGTTTAGTAGGTTCCAGTGGCAATGTAACCGGGAGCAAGCACAAACCAAACGTTGGATACAGACTGGGTAGACGTAAAGCACTTTTTGAAAAGAGAAAAAGAATAAGCGATTACGCACTTGTGATGGGCATGTTTGGTATTATAATCATGGTCATCGAGAACGAGTTAGCTAGCGCAGGAGTATACTCAAAGGTAAGAAAACAAAATTATTTACTATCGTATATTGCTAGAAACACCATATTTAAGCTAGTATGGCTCATACTGGCCTAATAATAATCAATTAGCTTGAAACGCAAACGGTTGACTACATAAAAACTTACTAGAATTATATGCTTTGACAATCAAATCCCGGTTACCAATTGAAGATAAATTGTAAACGATTCGTAAGGATTTGTAAGACTGCCTTTATGCTGAACAAACAATATCGATTTCACATTAACTGAATAATAAACGTCCTCATATTGAAATATTTCATATTGAGTTGGCGTGAATAAAATAATATATATTTTGATTTGATATTTAAGATTAAATTCATTTGTTACATTTGTTTGGTGATATTCCAAAAATATAAACTTAATTATGAACGATAATTTACAATTTTCTCGAAATAACTCCAATATGTATCAGGAAAATAACACAACGACACCATCTACGCCCACAAAATAAAACGAATTTAGTAAACTTATACTTAGAATGCATAAATGAATCAATTAACAGCCTTAACATATAATTACTCGTGAGTTTATTTTACATAATTATACACGCGATACACGCGATCTGAATAGTGTTAATTTTATTGCTAACGAGGTACTGTAAATATTATGAAAATGAGTAACGTAAACAACATAAATCTCTAAAGCTTGTTAGATAAATCACTTTTGGCGGAAAAACCCAAAGACCCGGAACACCCAATTAATACAGTAGCAAATCAAGCTGGCCACTATTAACTATACTGCTAAATGAGGTACCGCGTAACTTGATACGGTTCTATGCAAATTAAAAGCAACAAGAAACTTATTAAATTTGTATACAATAAAATTGCAAAGATAATTTTAACAAATCTAGAACACTGAAGAGCAGTAAGCCTAGGTTCTGTTTAGAGTAAGTAAAATAAAAACAACGAAAACGTTGAAGAACCTAATAATTGTAAAAGTATATTACCAACCAATTTAGATATAATGAAGTCCCACATAAAGTTTATATTTTACTCACATCGCATTGTCGTACAAAAGAAAAAATGTAATTAAAGGTTTAAAAACAATATGAATATAAGTATGATATTTGAAATTTAACTTTATTAACTTTTATTCATGGCTAAGAAAGGGGAAAAGTAAAGATGACAAGGAAAACTACAAACATTATAATATTAATTAACATTAATCTTTGTAGGTCTCCGCAAAAACCTAAACTTTACTTAAAGTATTTTCTTGGAACATATACTATAATTTAAATGTATCTAAACAAGAAGTATAATTGGAAAACATGTTTAACCTAATTATAATTTTAGTGCATTAAAACAAACAAAAACTTAGTATATAACGTACTGAAAACTAGTGCCATGTTTAAAATTCTTATTGACTTAAATAATATTCAATAATTTAACATTTTCAAAGCTTTAACGCATTATTAATGTATATTAACTATACCAATATGTCTGAATCCAATTAATGTGTCCTCAAGACTCTTATCGTTTATTGCCTATTATCTTGCCATACTCATTGAGTTTTTTTTTTGCCGGGTTGTGTTTTGTGTTGGCATCAGCCCTAAGTAATTGGACCCGTCGAATAACAGAACAAAAACTCTTAAACTTTTTTATTTTCCTCCGTGAAATCGTCTCAAATAAATTACATAAGTATGCAATTGCATATAATTATCTTAGCTAAATATTACCAATCTAATTATAAAAACTTAAAAAAATAAAATGACTAGAATAATTGCATTTAAAAGGACCGAATTAATACAGATACGTACACTAATTTTAAATATTGGTTGATACTTGTTACAATAACAAATAATTCTAAAATAGAAGTTGAAACTCTGTTAACATAATTTTTTTGTCTGGCATTTATACACTTTAAAATTAAAATAATATTAATAAATAATAACACACTTTTATAATTTTGAGGTAACTAATTTAATTTGTAAGATACTCCTCATTGTTTTGGAATCGATTGACTGAACTATTACGGAATTACTTTCTAGATTTTCCAAAATTCATCAATCATTTTAAAAATAAATGTTTAAATAATTCATATACAAGTAGGACATGTACTCCGTGACCCACATTTATTATTAACTAGGAACAAAACAATATCGATGCTTTTTTGATAAATAATAGAGTAATGTTTTAAATTCAGTTTTATCTTTATATTTATTTAGTCATTATTCATTAGGCAATAAAATTAGGTATGTTTAGGAAAGAAAAAAAATCGTACTCTTGAATTATTTATCATTCTATTGACCAACTACTGGTATTACAGTGGCTATATACAAATCGATTATTGAAGACGCCGCACATTTAGTACAACATTCAATTATAATACATCAGGGTTATTACCAATAAACTACAATATTTTTAAAAAGGAAAAAATAACTGTCCGTTACAAAAAAAAGACAATTTGACATTTAATTAAATGCGTGCTTCTTTTTTTTATGTCTACTTACTATCTGATTAGTTTATATTTTCTTAGATAAAGTATTGTTCTATCAAGTAAAATTTATAAAATGGCCATTCCTAACTAATTCTAAAATAAACATTAAAAAGACAACACAGTGGAGCCCGGACATAGTTCAAACATATATTCCATCAAACTTGAAACTAATTTCGACTATTTTAAAAAAGTTATAGGACGCCAGTAGTAACTACTGACGTCGTAATTTTAAATTGAAAAATAAGTACATTCTTTAGTGTTTTTCTTGATTTTGAATGAGAAGGGGGTAACTTTTGAAATGTCTGGCCCAATAAATTACATTTCAGGTACGATTTATTATCTATAGAAGTGCTATATAATATGTAAACCGGTTCAGGGGTTTTGATAATATCATCCAGATAAAAAAAATAATAATAATAAAAATACAGACACATTATTGTAAAAACAATACTTTCTCAACTCCGCATAAAAGATAAAAAATATTTTTCTTGTCTTAAAAGTTTGCAAAACTTCTTATAATAAAAATGTTTTTTTGTATTATCTACATAAATCGTTTTTTTTTAAATAGCTCACTTAAAATAATGTATATTTTTATATACTAGGCATATAGTTAGTCGCAAAGTAATTTTACTTCAATTTAAAGTGGCTGAGCATTGAAATTCTTTTAAAATATGCAAAGCAACAATATAAAGTTTAAAGAAAGTTTTAATATATGATGACAAGTTATTTAGTATTTACATTGTAATTTAAACCAATCAGAATTTGTTTAAATTATAAATATCAATACATATTATGCCAGAATAACAAATTTTTTTTTTTTTTTTTTGAAAACCTTCTTTAGATAATTTATTGCTATTGGTCATTAGGTTAAATATTTATATTTTATTTTATAATAGCGGTGATCAAAAATTATTTTTGTAATACTTATAAGTTATATGGCATAACCTCTATTATTTCTTTTACTATGTTGCTACATTATATTAATATATTAAATTAAATAATTTTTCCACTATGCCATAGTCAGCAAGTAATTTAATAAACCTAAATTGACACAACGGGTTTCATATACCTTTTCAGTTATGTATGGGAAATGCGTATGTAACGAGACTGGTAAGATTTCCTTCCTCTTAATAAGTTAAGTTTGTTTGTTTCTATTCCTAGGAGATTAAATTGTATTATTGCAGCAGTAGGATAAAACTTAATCTCTCTGGTGACTCTTTAAAGCGATTCAAAGAAAACCCAACTTATATGAAATTCAAATGGGATTTTATATGACACTGCAGTATTCCGGCTTGTTAGCCTAATAACAATAAACCGATTTGGCGCGTGAAATGGAATATTCCAAGACTAAATCCGTTTTATACTCGCGTGTACAACTAACACCGCGTTCATAATGATGATAACGGCAGTTTCCGAAGATCCGGTGGTCTGACAAAAAAATAAAGAAGCTCCATTTGGTTTTAAATGAAATATGTGCCCCTTTCTCGCAGAAGTGTAAAAACAACTTTGCGCTGCGAATAAATTGTTCTAGAAAAGCGAGTAAAACCATTTATATTGTTTGAGCTTGGCAGTTGTTCTTAAACCGTCTGAGGCGCGTCGCGATGCTATATCTGAATTTTTATGTTGAAACCGCGCAAAAGCTACTCGTGAGCCTGATTAATATATTATACTCTTAATGACAAATCGTCGTCGGTATTGCTGAAATGCGAATAACGTCTTAAATCAAAGTACTCACACATGTGTATTTACTTTAATTTTACTAATGGCGTTGAACAGAAACTGTATGTATAGCTGAATATGATAAAAAAAATGAATATATTTTGAAACTATCGTTTTGCAATTTGCACTGTATTCTTTTTTCTCGAAAAGTGTTTAAGTATTTTGATTTAAAATTTATAAAGGAAACACACTTAATACAACGCTATTACTAAATAAAAAGTTAGAATCGTTTACTTTTTGTACTTCCAATTATCATCTAAACGCCGTTAACGACATAAGTACTTAGTTGTAGCTAAAACATTTTCAGTTGTAACCAATAGCTAATGAATGCGTGTCTTTTTTTCGTTAATAGGTTAGGTTAAACACTCAATCCTTGTTCGCCAATTAAACGAGTTGATCATTGTTGTGGGTAAATATTATAACAATGATCATTGATAAATTAGAATATTCAAGCTACATTTACTTTCTGATTAACATAACATGTCTAAATGTGTTTGTTTGAGTGATCATGCAAAAAACTAGCCAATTTAAACACGTCAGATTTTAACTTGATATATAACGATTTTACAAACAAAAGTAAATTTAACGATTACGTAGAATGAGAAACGCTCGAGATTGAAGTTAATTTTTGTTGTACATTAATAAAAAAAAGAGAACTACATTTTGTGAAAACATCTGTGATTGAAGAAACAAAAGTGCTATAGCCGGATAACCCTGTTCCATAGGAATCTTAAGTTTCATTTCGCCAATAGCGCTTACCTATGTCTTGAAATGGGATCAGACCATCGTGTTAGTGATATTGCAACGACGATTTATAGTTGC